TAATTTTTAGTAGAGACAGGGTTTTGCCATGTTGGCCAGCCTGGTCTTAAACTCCTGACCTCAGCTGATCCACTGGCCGCAGCCTCCCAAAGTGCTGGGGTTACAGGTGTGAACCACCATGCATGACTAGACTTGCTATTTAATAGCACAACAAAGTGACTATGGTCAATAATAATTTAATTGTACATTTAAAAATAACTAAAAGACTATAATTAGATTGTAACACAAAGGAGAAATGCTTAAGGGGGTAGATATTCCATTTTCCATAATGTCATTATTACACATTGCATGCCTGTATCAAAACATCTCATGTATCCCATAAAGATACACCTACAATGTACCCCCAAAAATTAAGAATTAAAAAAAATTAAAGAAATACAACTAGTATTTGCAGTTTGTATATCTTGCTTATATGATATGTACATTTTTGAAAAGACACGTTAATGTTAGAATAAAAATAATATACTTGCAGTGGTAGAGAAGGTTCAACAAGCCATCATTTTCTCCAGGAGGTTTTCCATAGTCCTTCATAGTTACATGCCCACCCAAGTGTTCTCATAGCACTCTGCATTTTTCCTAATCTAGTACTTACCATGCTATAACATAAAGACCAAAAAGTTTATACAATCTCTCAACACTGTAAGCTCAACAAGGGCAGAAATCGTATCTTTTATCACTGCATCCCTAATATCTAATATAATAATAAGCACATAGTAGGCACTCAATATTTCCAAAATGAATTTAAAAAAGAAGTCACATGGTAGAAGTTCAAAACAATCTATACGTTTAGGATTATTGCCTAAATGTACAAAATAAAATCTATATAAGTGTGATTATAATACTTTTATTTCACATTTTAATTAAAGTTTAGTATCCTTGCTTAAACACCTCAGTTCAAGGGTGGTTATGGTGAGTATGTATCTGTTTGGTTTATTTAAGGGTTCTGCATAAAATAGTTTGAAAATTCACTGATTTAGATCAACACAAATATGTAGCAACTAGGCTAGACAGACCAGGTAAGGCTTTTCTTTTGGCATACCAACATGTCTATAATGTACTACATGGAACTCAGAAACTACTAAATAACTCAATTATTTGCCAGTAAACTCATTTAGCTGACAATACATCCATTCCTGACAGCACATACCAAGGTATTTTCCTATGACGCCATTTGGAGCACTGAAAATGATTTTTAATACAAAAACTTTCCAAAGGACATGACATATGGGAGAAACCAGTGTATCCATAAATCCTGAAATAAATAAGGAACACAAAGTCCAGTTCTCTAGTTCATAATCCTGCTCCAGGGTTAGATAAAGAAGGAAACTGAGGAAATTCACCTTAACTTTTAACAACAGAACAGAGGGAAGGAATATACAGTTGTCAGATACAAGGAGTCTTTGAATAAACAAGTTTTCGTAGTAACAGGTTCCTTGAATGATACAAATAAATCATCCCTCATAGTTCATATCCAGATATCTATTTATGGTAGAGTAGGATGAAGCAAAATTTCCTCTAAGGGGTAGAAGAAAGGTAACTCACTGCTCTAAAGCCTCCTCCCAGAAAGAGATGTTTAAGAAAGTCATACCAGTATCATCCTGCTTTTGACTATGTAACTACTTCAAAGAAGAACCCAGTTTCCTCATAACACAATAATTTCTTCATATAAAAAGTAGTGGTTTTCCACCCAAGTGGTGGTGGTAACAAAATCACTGCCTTATGAATGTATAACTTACATATATTGTATTATTTATTTTTTTGAGGTGGAGTCTTGCTCTTTCACTCAGGCTGGAGTGCAGTGGTGTGATCTTGGTTCACTGCAACCTCTGCCTCCTGGGTTCAAACAATTCTCCTACCTCAGCCTCCCGAGTAGTTGGAATTGCAGGCATCCAACACCATGCCTGGCTAATTTTTTTTGTATTTTTTATAGAGATGGGGTTTCACCATGTTGGCCAGGTTGGTCCCGAACTCCTGACCACAAGTAATCCGCCCACCTCGCCACCCAAAGTGCTGGGATTACAGGCATAAGCCATTGTGTCTGGCCCATACTATATAATTTAAACAATATATAAATTTTGGAAAACTATCAGGGCTGGTATTTTAATCTATGTTTTAGAGATAATTCTTCATTTGCATATGGGATAAAGAGACTTCTTCAAAATCTCAGTGGTAGGAAGCAACACAGCCGAGTTAGAAATATGGTCTTTTTGATTCCTAGTCCAGGGCCTATAATGTAATACTACAAGTGATCTAGAATATAAACTTCTATATCTAGGGGCATAAAAGAAAATCAATCCCCCTTCTAAACAGATAATACTACTACATCTGCTAATGTAAGAACACTATAAACAGCAGGGACTTTGTAGAAGATTGATACTCGTATTTCAACTCTACTACTTACTTTGATGTGGACATTCATTTTTCCAGTCTATAAAAAGGAACAAAATACCAACTATTTAGGGTTTTAAGTTAAATGTATCTAAAAATTATTCACATGGCCTACATACAAAGGAGGTTCTAGTCCTAGCTGTGGTTAGCAAGCAATAAATGTTATTTTCCCTTCCGCTTCAACTAACAAGATGTGAAGATTCTAGTATATTTAGAATGAGTCCATCAAAAAGGTCTCTGCAGATGAAACTCGAAGTTCTTCCTAAGACTGAAGTTACTGAGCTAGGTAGGTTATTTAACTTACTTAAGTCCTGCCTGTAGTTTGAAAAACAAAATGTTCAATTTTCTCCCCTTCTCTTCCCACTCCATTTTCTTGAGGTAAAAGACACAGCTAAGAAAAAAAGTACTTTTTAAAGGGGGACTAAAGACAAGCAGATAATGAAAGCAAAGAATGAGTAATTATTTGGTAATAGAGTCCAGCTGAAAAGGGATGGTTCACCAAAGTAGTAAGAAGTCCAGAGAAAAGAAAAAAACTAATCTCTCTAATCCCAATAAGTACACAGAAAAGTAGAGACCCATCCCATGAAGTTAGAGAATCTTCTTATTAGCAGTTTACTGCAGACCTGGACCCTGATATGCTAAACCTTGTTGTGGGTAAAGGCAAACATAAGAATGATCTGTTTCCGGCTGGTCGTGGTGGCTCACGCCTGTAATCCCTGCACTTTGGGAGGCTAAGGCACACAGATCACGAGGTCAAGAAATTGAGACCATCCCGGCCAACATGGTGAAACCCTGTAGCTGGGCATGGTGGTACATGCCTGTAGTCCCAGCTACTCAGGAGGCTGAGGCAGGAGAATCACTTGAACCCGGGAGGCAGAGGCTACAGTGAGCTGAGACAGCAACGTTGCACTATAGCCTGGCAACAGAGTAAGACTCTATCTCAAAATAAAGTAAAATAAATAAAATAACCTGTTTCCCTAGGAAATATATGGCTATGATGATTTTGTCAATCAAAATGAGGAAAAATGAGTTATTTTTCTAGGAATCTTGGACATACTAAATACAAGAGAAAAAATAAGTCCATAAAGTCAAGCAGTTGAGAAAAATACCCAGGAACTAAAATAGGAAAATAAGTGGTTGGGAAATGTTCAGATGGATTATCTCCTTTATTCCTTTATTATTTACCTTAGTACTAGGCAAGGGTCTGAAAATACAAAGAAGCTGTTAAAGAGAAGAAACTAAAGATTAAAGGTTCATGTGGGTTTTTTAGTCAGTCCATAGGCTAGACATATATGTTTCTCCTTTAGGTCATGTCTCATCTAAATAGCAACTTAAGAAAACCAAATGGCATAACAGAGATATACCTACCAACTGTCAGGGATGAAATCCATCTTTAATGAAACAGCTCAGAGTCTACTTCTTCATATAACTTTGAACTACTACAAGTGTAAAGGGTACTATTTTTAAAACTGGGAAGAAGGGCAGGGAAGAACGATAGGCAAATTAATGAATTACATATGGTTCCAATTTTAAATTACTCATTTGTTTCAAATGAAATGTTCTACTTTAATTGAGGCCATTAGTACACTATATCAAAAGAACACGAGTTTAAATGTTCATAATTACAACTAGGACCGAATCTCTTTCATGTGATAACCACTTACAGCTAACAAAAACATATAATGCAACCTAACAAATTATATTCTTGATAAAGAAATATAAGGAGAATTCTAACTCATTAGTATGTTACTGTTCTGCCCAACTATAGACAAGTTATCTATATATGCCTAACAAAGTCAAGTAAGACCAAAGCTGCAAAGTACAAGTTACTTCTTTTAAGGTAAAGTATAGATAACTTTTCCAAATTTTTATAATATACATTATTGTTTTTGCCAATCTAAATCTTTAATAGATTAATGCTAAAATGAACATTATCAATCTGTTAATAGGAATGGGAAAAGAGGAAAATAAAGGAACTATTGGACATACCCTATGTAGTATTTCTAAAACCTTTAATGCAGTATGAAGAAAACTGTTGAAAATTCTTCTTTCAGAAGGGGGAATACCGATCTTGTAGAGTTTCAAAAGATGTACCACAACTTCCTTAAAAAGTTCTACTATCTTGAGGAATAGTGGAGGCTCAAGTACTGACCACCAGTTTTCTGTTATTAAAAAGTGAACACGCAAATAAAATGAAGTTAAGAAAAATCACAACTTTCAAAATCATATGGATTTTTTTTTTGAAGCAGTTGTTAACCCTTAGAAAACCCCAGAAAGATGCATATAACACAGTATTTTATGTAACATTTCTATGGTTTATACCCACCCCAGCCAAGTTAAACAATATTGTCCTAAAAGCTCTCAAAAGCAAAAATAACCTATGAAAGTCCTGTTGAATTTATATTCTTGGTTTTCTAAATTATATTAAAAACTCACCACCATACCTAATATTAAAACCAGTTATTAAAAGTTTTGAAAATTACTGTTTCAATTTTCAAGCAAAACATCCTTTAAATTGTATTGTTCTAATACTAGTTCTAAGTTTTATCTTTCAGTTTAATATATGGTTAAAATATTGTGAACCACTACCTTTAAAATGCAAGGTACTCCTGAAGATCAAATACAGAAGCTGAACAATGTAAAGTGTAACATACGGGTCCTTCCCCACATTCACTATTTGTAGTTACTAAGTACAAACACTTCAATCCTATGAAGCAGGCAGAAAGAATACAATAATTTCTGACAACAGGGAAGAAATACTCTTGTCAGTCCCTGCCTGACTTTTATTACTGGGTATTTCCTCAGATTCCCATATTCTACCTCTTGCTTGTTGCTTCCTCCATTTACCCTCAGCCTTAAAGTTTTGTACTGATATTCTATATATCTCAGCTCCACATACCTAACAAATACTATTAGAAAGAAAAGGACTAGGTTAGCAAAAAAATTATAAAGACCAGGAGATAGAGATAAAATCTAGACAAATAGAAAAATTAAAGTGAGAAAAGTTTAGGCCAAAAAACCAGAGTGGTAAGAGATAGAAGTGCAAGATCAGATGAGCAACAAAATCTAGTCTATACAAAGAAAAATAAAATCGAATATCATGAAATCAGCAAGCGAAGGAAACACAAGTTAGAGGGCTTATATCAGGGTTCAAAGGAGACTTAAAACCCATGTTTGTTCAGTTTTAATTGTTCCTCCTCCTTTACTTCTTTAATAGCAAGATTATACTAAAGGCAATGAGGGAAAGGAATATGGGTAACAGTTTTTGACTTTCTTAATATTGTCTCTGCTGTTATGTTTGATTAAACTTCTATATCTAACATGCTTTTCTTTCAACAACTCCAACTAGAATCAAATGACTAGACAAAAACAAGAAAAGTTAAAACAGATTCATTTTTCCCTAAGACAATGTCAAATAAGCAGGGAGGAGAACTGGAAATAGCAAAAGAACTTATGAGCATTTTCATTTAAAGATAAAAGGTTTCAAAAGAAAAAAAATTAGGATTCTTACCAAGTACTTTCAGTGGTGCCTTTTCTAGGTTCACAAGAGCTGTACCAAAGGGAATTGCTATTGTTGTGAAATTGTTGGAATCACTCATCAGGGGACATTCTGGTAGAGTAAGATAAAACCTCAATGCTTCAACATCAGGTAAGGAGCTAGTCAGTTTAGGAATAAGATTCTTTTCCAAACTAGCTGCCACCTATATTTTGACAAAAAGTAAAACCTACTTCATTTAAAATGAATACACTTTCAAAAAAAAAAAAAAAGGAAAGCAGGAAGAAAAGAAAGAAAAGGAAAATTTTGCACTACAGCAAACACGAAATGGTGAAGAAGAAAAAAGAAAGACAAAGTCTTATGATGAATATACTTTACAGCACAATGAAAATTAATGCCTAAGCATTGCTTGGAGAATTTAAAAAATCACCTGTTGTACAAGTCTCAATTTAAAATCTCTACCTCTACAACTATACACAAACTGAAGCAACATGGTAATGTTAAGTAATTCAGGGTCTGCTTCAAACATCTGAAAAGATTTCTAGATCTTTGACAGCTAAATTACAAATGCTTTAAAATGAAATCTTATTTTAAAAGCACAACTTATAAGAGTCTGTGAAACTGCAAAGTAAATTAGGCTATAAACATATAACACAGAACAACAACAACAACAAATCAACAGATAATAATGTAAATATAATACTTTAAAAACAGACCTGCTGAGATATCTGCGGATGATCAGGTTGTATAAGTTTGTGGAATAAAAGCCTAGCAGCATTCATATCAACCCCTGAAAATTTGGTACCTGTTCTATAGTGATCATCATTGCTAAAAAACAGAAAAGAAAGAATAAAAAAACAATAGAATAAAACTTTAAAATTACTTCGTTTTAAAATTTGATATACTATTTAATACAACAAATTTGAAAATTTCAGCATATTAAAGAATTGCCACTTACCTAACAGCTAAAAAACTTCCATTTAGGCAACCAGAGGAAGAAAATGTTCCATCTATCTCACTAAAAAATTAAAAATTTTTTAAATCACAGAATTAGGAATTTAATTGTTCACCCTTTCTTAAAAAAGAATTAAATGAATATGAATCTAATATTTAAAGTTACAGAGCACTCGTCTAACACCCAATTAGATGAATCAGAATTATATAAATTGCTAAAGACTGATAAAATAATACTTAATAAAGGTATTACTGTTTACAATAGACTTTCCCAAATATTACTTTAATTGCTTTATCAAACGAATTAAGTTATCTACTTTAAAACATAGAATTTCAAAAATTAAGTGTGTATATTCAGATAAAAACAGTTTTTTTAATTTAAAAAAATTTTTTTGATTCCATATTGGCAGTGAGTCTAATTGGGGGTGTCTTTGGGATTTTCAGAAAAAGTATAGTTTTGGAAAACAATCTAGAAAAACAAAACAGCTTTCAAATACAACCCGTCATCCCAAATGCCAACAAAAACCAAATAACAAAATTTTAAGTACTACTAGACAAGTTAACAAAATATTCAAGAAACAAATAATATTAAAGTCTTTCAAAAAGTCTGAAAGTTAAGATACTGACCATTATGAAACTAGAAAGAAGACATTTCAAGGCCAATCCTAAAATGGCTACATTTAATATTTTATGTTATCATTTAACATATCTCTATGTACATGAAAGAACTATAACTTATGCATATTTAATTAAGATCTTTAAAAATATCTATTATAATGGATTTTTTTGGGAGACAAGTTCTCACTTTGTTGCCCAAGCTACAGTGCGATGGTGTAATCTCAGCTCACTGCAGCCTTGACCTCCCGGGATCAGGTGATCCTCCCACGTCAGCCTCCCAAATAGCTGAGACCACAAGTGTGCCACCACGCATAGCTACTTGTATATTTTTTGAAGAGATGGGGTTTCACCACATTGTCCAGGCTGGTCTCCAATTTCTGGTCTCAGGCAATCTGCCTGCCTCGGCCTCCCAAAGTGCTGGGATTACAGGCATTAGCCAACTATGCCTGGCCCAAAATGCTTTTCTTACTTGGCTATCTCCACAGGAAACCTTCCAGAAGGATAGCTCAGCCATTTCTGAATTAGAGCTTCATTCACTGTCCAGATCTGCTTTGTAGGATCAGGATATCTGAAGTCATCTGGTGGCCCACAGTTCTAAATTTTCAAATAAGATTAGTCAGAGGGAAGAGATATTATATACAACTCAAAAACCCCATTATGTATTTGTGTTTTAAACAGAATTACTGAACACCTGAAACAAAAACCTATCTAATAGATCAGAAAAATTTATTCTGTAGACTTGAGGGGAAAAAACTAGGGCAATTACTTTGTAACATATAAAGAACATTAATTATGGGTTTTTTAAATTTGTCAAAATTATTGGAACTAAGTATCTACATGATTATATTATTACCTGGGGACTAGAGTAATGTGAAAAGCTTTGATCTCCCCCTGAGAAAATTCTTTTTACACAGAAATATTCTTCAGAATCTGTAACAAAAATGTAAAAAATTAAAAGCCAAGGTTTATATATTCCAAAATATTAAATATGCCATTAGATTTTCACATATTCATCTAATTTAATAAGGCCTCCCATTCACGGACTCCATGATATAAAGTGACCTGAAATATTCTGACTGCTACGGGGATGAGACTGACCAAATGATGAACATTAAACAATCCCACAAGCGTAAGCAGCATTTGGTGAAGTTTACAAGCCTTTCTTCTGCCCTGCACCAAAAAAAAAAAAAAAAGCATTTTCTAATTCGCATCTCAGTATATTTCATTTTAAACCAAAAATGATTAAAAAAAAAAAAATAGAATGAAAGCTACAAATGATAGCTAGAAGAAAATAAAAATTAAGAATATTTATTTTTGGTGGGGCACAATGGCTCATGCCTGTAATCCCAGCTCTTTGGGAGGCCAAGGCAGGAGGATCACTTGAGGTCAGGAGTTCGAGACCAGCCTGGCTAACATAGTGAAACCCCATTTCTACTAAAAATACAAAAATTAGCCAGGCATGGTAGTGTATGCCTGTAATCCCAGGTACTCGTGAGGCTGAGACAGGAGAATCATTTGAACTCAGGAGGCAGAGGTTGCAGTGGGCTGAGATCATGCCACTGCACTCCAGCCTGTACCAGAGAGTAAGACTCCAACTCAACAACAAAAAAAAGTATTTATTTTTGAACTGGGCTACAGTGGCACATGCCTGTAGTCCCAGCTACTTGGGAGGCTGAGGTAGGAAGATGGCTTGAGCCAGGTTCAAAGCTGCAGTATGCTATGATTACATCTGTGAACAGCCACTGTATTCCAGCAAGGGCAACATAGCAAGACCTATCTCTTAAAAATATATATATTCTTAAAAAGAAAGAACAAACAACAATGAAAACTTCTTGAGTAAATATTTCATAATACAAAACTATGTTTTTTTTCAATGTAAGTATATAAGATAATACATACAGCTGTTTGTTGGCAGCTTTTTGTCAGTAAAAAACCAAATTAGGCCCAAAAATGTATATATTAACAAGTTTATTAGGAATAAGGGCAACAAACAATGTTTCTTTTGCAAAAACAAATAAGCAAAGAGAAAACTGATTAAAAAAAACTTTACACTATCTTCTTTTCCCCTGCTCTGTTATTTCTATTTATATCTTATTATACTGTATGTCTTTATAAGTTGCTATAGTTATTTTTTATCTGTTCATATTTTAGTCTTCTTACTCAAGATGAGTAGTTTGTACAACACAATTCATGCTGTAATATTTTGTATTTGTCTGTGTACTTACTATTACCAGTGAGTTTTGTACCTTCAGATGATTTGTTATTGTTCATTAATGTCCTTTTCCTTTGGAATGAAAAACTCCCTTTAGCATTTTCTTATAGGACAGGTCTGCTGTTGATAAAACCCCTCAGCAATTTTTTTTTTCTTTTTTTTTTTAAGATGGAGTTTCCCTCTTGTTGCCCAGGCTGGAGTGCAATGGTACGATCTTGGCTCACTGCAACCTCGGCCTCCCAGGTTCAAGTGATTCTCCTGCCTCAGCCTCCAGAGCAGCTGGGATTATAAAAGCCTGCCACTATACCCAGCTAATATTTTTTTTTTGTATTTTTAGTGGAGATGGGGTTTCACCACATTGGTCAGGCTGGTCTTGAACTCCTGACCTCAGGTGATCCACCCGCCTCAGCCTCCCAAAGTGCTGGGATTACAGGCATGAGCCACCGCACCGCACCTGGCCACCCCTCAGCTTTTGTTTGTTTGGGAAAGTGTTTAATTCTCCTTCACACCTCAAGGATATTTTCACTAGATATAATATTCTAGGCTAAATGTTATTTTCCTTTAGCACTTTAAGTATGTCATGCCATTCTCTCCTAATCTGTAAGGTTTTCACTGAGAAGTCTGCTGTCAGATGTACCAGAGCCCTATTGTATGTTGTTTGTTTTCTCTTGCTGCTTTTGAAATCCTTTCTTTATCCCTGACCTTTGAAAGTTTGATTATCAAATGTCTTGAGGTAGTCTTATTTGGGTTAAATACACTTGGTGTTCTATAACATTGCAGTTGAATATTGATATTTTTCCTTAGGATTGAAAAGGTCTTTGTTATTAGCTCTTTAAAAAACTTTGTATCTCTATCTCTCCTTCTACATCCTCTTTAAGGCCAGTAATTCTAGATTTGCCCTTTTGAGGCTATTTTCCAGATGCTGTGAGAGTATTTCACTTTTTTCTTTTGTTAGCTCTATACATTTTCATATAGTTTGTCTTCATCCTCACTAATTCTTTCTTCTGCTTGTCAACTGAATTTTGAAGTCCAGAATTTCTCTTTGATATTTTACCATTGTTTCAATCTCTTTTGTTAAATTTATCTGACAGGATTCTGAACCT